CGTCCTGTGTGCCCCCAGTCCGCTCAGCTCGGTATCCGCAGCCCAAGTGTCGAGCCCGAGGTCCCCTCGTGGGCGCGCAAGCGACCGTGGGCCCACGTGATAATCCTTATCGGCCCTGATTGGCCGCGGGCCATCTCGCGAGCTTGGGCGAGTCCTCGCGACTTGCTGTAGCGTCGCGCGCCCTAGATCCTTGAGCGCGCGGGATTCGATTCCAGGCTGGCGTCCTCTCGGCTGCTCGCACGGTCTCCTCTGTACTGCTGCTGCCGGCGTGTCATCCGGATCCGATGGTTCTTGTGCAGACACGCTCGGCCTTCGGACTCGAGGTCTCCTCTCAAAGACACCGTGTAGACCTCGTGCAATGTCGATCGTATGCACGACTGCCGTCTCAGCTGTTCCATTACGTCATTCAAACAACGCGTGTAATCGTCGAAAGTGATCGTTTTCGCGACTACGTTTTTCTTCACACCCTTTATTCTCTTCGTATCGCTTCTCCCGATCACTCTAAATGCGTACATCTTCGCTCTGAGTCCTACGAATTCCGTCATAATCGCGCCGTTATTTTCATCTTTCATCAAACCGGGTATTTTGGTATTAACGCGTGGAATATCATACGCGTTTCCCTCAGGGTAATCGCTCGTGTCGAATCTCGCGATATCACGCTTGATATTCTCGTATACATTTTCACACTCCAAAAGATATATCAAACTGTCAGTGTCCGTGTACATGATCTTACATTTATCGCGATACAACGGCATTACGTAATCGTAGTGAAATTCATACAGACGCATCTTGGATATTTCGAGAATGCACATACCTACGTATATCGGTTTGTTCAATTTTACCTCGAGTTTGCGCATTTCGACAGCAATTAGATCTTCGGAAAAGACACTTCTGCTGTGAAAGTTCGGTTTCGCTATCATCACTTTCCCACCGTATCTTCCGTCCCAACGCGTTACGAGTCGAACGTCAACATGATCGCGTACGTTCTCCATTGTTTTTCCAAATACCGCGTTATTCATCAATTTGTAAAGATTCTTCTCGAATTCGTTATTCGCGAGCTTTCTGAATCTCGTATTGAGTTCGATGTATCCGCGAAGCCATGGGGATTGTGCGAATTGTAATATTCGATGAATTTTTTTCACGTATAATCCGTGCTGAATGCATTGTTGCAAATTGCGATAGTACATGACATAGCGCTCCTTATCGTAGAGTGTAGCCAGCAGTTTATCATTTCGCTTTCCGGGAGGCCGTTCGCGAGTGGGACAGAATGGAAGGTCAGTATGAGCGTCATGAACGCTTTGCGGATACGCAAGGTCGACTAGAATATAACCGATAACGGAGTCTAACGACACAGACATTATGTCAAAGCGCTCGACGTCATCGACCCATTGAAATTCTCCATACGGTAAGGATTCGGACATCGCCCAACCGTACAAATTATTCACATCGAAGTACATGAGGTACGTCGAGGGTTCCGAAGGATCGTACGAAGGTGCATACTTGTTATTAGCTCGCGCATATCTATGCGAACATTGGCTTAAACCACCGCGTATACCACGCTCCACAAACATCACCATGTCGATGTCGGTGAGCAATTCGAATCGAATACCGGTGTATCTCAACATAGCGTCCCACGTGTATCCCGGTAGAGTGTAATAATACGTCGGATCCAAGCCGTAACTCTCGATACACGTATCACGAAAATTTTCGAAAACGTCCGCCAATAAAAGCACATCCGTCTTGAGATACAAATCGCTATAATCACCAAGAGTTTCTGTGCAAAAGCGTCGCCAAACGTTCGTCGCGTATTGATAATCGTCCTCGGAAACGACCTCGTCGGTTAACGAACTGTAAAACGACTCGCGCGGCGGTAAACTAGTCTCGTCCAGCTTATCAACGCTGTTGACGTACTCGTACGGAAACACTCCTTTACGCGTAAGCAGATCAAAATCCTCGGTGTTAAGATTGCGAAATTCCGACCGCGTGATTGTCAATTTACTCTTGTCGAGATACGATACCAATTTCTCAAGACTAGTACTGAGAAATTTAAAAGAATCCACAAAACGCAGTTTCACATTGTCCGTTCCCCACTTGACTTTCGCCGTATCCTTGACATATTTCGTAAACGATATATAATTTTCTTTCGTTATCGGTAACAAATACACGCTACCCTCAAAACTATTAGCGATATCTTTTATGATAAAATGCGCGTCATAACCCGACAAGTTATGAAAAAACATAGGAATAACGTACGACTTTTGATAATTTAAATTACAACATGAATGCGCGGGACCTCTGTAACGTCCGGTTAAATGACAATGATCGCGCACGCGCAAATCTCCTTCCTCGAACGGTCTTTCACAGATGTGGCAATAAGACGCGTCTCGAAAGTTTTCCCACTCGTCCGAAGTAAGCCCCGTCATAGTAATGTTCTTATCAAATATCGTTTTCGCGCGATGCGCCAAATCGTATAATTCATTGACAAACCACAATACGCAATCCTCACCGCGACGAGATCTGTATACTGACATAGTTTCATCGTATGCACAACGTATGTAATAGCCTACGCTGAAAACCCTGTGATGTTGATAAGTGAACCTCGATATATTTTCATCACTGGTCTTCTTTTCCAGTATACACTCCAAATCGGCGTAAACCACAAAGGGAAGTCGCTCCTTTTTGTTATGATTACGAAACGACAACCACTTGTCGTTCTCGTTCGGAAGAATAACAGCGCAATCGTTCGTCCTAGCACAGTCAACAACGTGAAACGACAACTTCTTGCTCGTATGAAAATAATGTAGACATCTGTAAAAAAGAACAATTCATAACACGTTACACGACTTTTTTATCGCTCTGTATAAAAAAACACACTTAATTATTCTTACCTACCTGTCACACAAATACTTCTTTTTCGTATTCTTGCTCAACTGGGA